TGATAAAGGCCGTCTTGTTGAAGCTACGTCTGTCAAATTAGTTTTCATTTATTTAGTATGTTCTGCGAAATCACTATCGACGGATATAACATTCAACAACACGTGTAGATGATAAAATTGTGCTATAAAGATAGGTTTTCTGTTCGGGCAACGTAGCGTGCGTTTCGCGTTTTCTAGTCTGAATTTGAAGCTGTTGAAACAACGACATGAGGTTTCAACAGCACAGCACTAAGTACCACACAGCTCATGCCACATTAGATATTTTCTGCGAGCGATTTGAGGGCATGATCATTTCTCGTGCGATTTGAGTCCGTTACACTTTTTTTGTCGCAGATGTATGCTAATGAGCTAAAGCCAGCATAACCCATGTTATCAGTCAAATTCAGCCTGGTTTATATGCCAGGGTCTTGGAAAATCAGACGTTTGGGATGTGCTTATACTTTTCCAAAATTCAGAAAGACTATTGAATATTTTGATATAGTGCTGGAACAACTAGATGTTTTTCGTTTACTTCAAGTAATTGTGTGTGTGTGTGATATCAGCTCAATTTTGAAGGAACATATTTCCACATATCAAAGTCATAGACAAATTTGGTGATGGGACACTTGTAAGAGATATATTTTTCAAATTTCGAACAGCAAACAGAAATTTCAGAATATATAAAATAGACTAACTGTATAGATACTGGATACCAGGACTGTCAGGCATAGACAGGCAATGAGAAAGCTGATGAGCATATCATCAACTGCATATATAGGTCCTGAACCAGCTGTGGAGATATCATAGTATGGTACGGAACCGGTTTGGGAAGTTAATCTATGAGAAACATAGAGAGTACTGGGGAAAATACCTCAGAACACAAAAAAACATTAGAGCCGCCCAAGAAAAGATCTGAAGAACTTCTTCAACAAAGCAGGGATTGGCTCAGAACAACTACGAAGCTACTCACTGGACACTGTCCATTCACAGGACACCTGAACAAAATAAGGCTGTACAACGGAGATCTCAACTGCAGTCAATGCAACAAAGGGACAGAGACATAGTTTATGCCATTGAGAGGCACTAGACCACAGGAGGCAGAGAACTCATGGACCACCCAAACTATGTACAGAAGTATATGACATACTTCCATAGTAAGACCAGTTGAAACTGGTTCAGGGCACAGAATTGTTAGAATAGTTGCCGTGAGAGAGATGGAGAAAACCAAAATGAGCCCATGACGCTGCGGTATTTGCAAGAGACATGGGAGGAAATTGATGAGTCAGACACCGCCTAAGTAGGAGCAAAAAAATAGCAACAGTAATTCGTAGGAGAAAGCAAGCATCTCACTATATATCTAGCTGAATGAACGCTCTAAAAACATTGATTTCGGAAATCTGTGAAATATTAAAATCATTTTTCTTCTCAGTCCTGAATCCAGCGTGCTTGCGTACGAATTCAAAAATATTGAACCCGGAAATTTTCAAATATATTCAATTATCCATGCAAATTTCTGTTTGTCATTGTATGTACAATCCATTCGTTGAATATGCTGACACTAGAAACCCTCTGTTCGATAATAATCGAATGAGAACACATCAAAAGATATTTTTCAGAAAGTGCGAATGGAAGCCTGGTTATTAATTATTTTCAGATAGACATTTCAGTAATCCGGTTGGCATTTGATGTTCTTTCTACGACTGAATCCCGTTGATAAGATTAACCTGTCGAATGTACCATTCGGGAATATTGGATAACTGACAAGGAATTTACATGATAATTCAACTGACAGAAAGCTCGAAAAATTGTGAAATGCTAACGAAAAATCTTTGAGTGAAATGAATATGAAAATGAAAATAGTTACAATTACAGGGTCATTGAATGGTGTCAAATCAAAATCCTATCTACGTTATACCTGCTTCAACACTTCACATCAAACTTGATACTCGATCTGAAATTCATGACGTATCCAACTCCATATCGATTATGATATCACTGGTCAATGTTTTTCTAGATTATAATATTCCCAAAAACTAAATCCTCACCACAATTATTATCTCAATTCGAAAATAAAGTTGTACGTGGAAAAACATTGATTCCAGTTATTATAAAATTATATTGAAACTGCTGATATCATTATATGATAAGACTGAGCCCAAAATATTTTGTCTGATTCAACTAACTTTCTAGGTCAAGGTTGCAGAGTTTCATCTGTAATAACACTCGTAAATAGTTCGACGATTACGAGTATTGGCACTGGTATTGAGGGTACGTCTCAATCATTGAGGAACCTGTCATTGAACAAGTTGCGATATCTCCTTGATTATGATAGATGAAAAGTGACCAATAAGATGGATCAAGACAAAAGGGCTCAACATAAGACCATTCATATCAACTATAGTAACATCCACAAAGAGCACCCTGAAAAATATGATCCCCTACAACTTCCAGGTGAATACATACAACTGTCGAGGCTTAATATCTTCTCTAAAAGATGGTGCAGATCCTTTACAGAAATAAAATTCCAATCTGACGTAGTTCCAGTGTCTCTTTTTGAAATTCTGGTGAATCTTGTCTGGAACCGTAATAAAATTTCCATCATGGATGAAAATGTTTTCTACAGCATTCATCTTAAATTATATATTTTGGTATAAACAGTGTTTCCTCTTTCTTCAGTCAGCTGTTATTAGGACTATTTTTGGAAATCAAATTTCCCAGAAGAATATATAGTTTATTGCTTCTATTATGAGCTAACTCAATGTCCAAAAAAGTGGCTTGTCATCAGATTGTGTTCTATACTTTTCTGGTCCAAAAACTACTAGGTAGTCATTCTTACTGCTTCCAGGATGTGTATTTTCTTTATAGACCAGTTTATGCTGGTCAGATGATCCTATGGAAGGACATAGGGGCGAAAACATATGGTTTTTTGATTTGGTTGAATCAGGAATGAAACATGTGATTTTGAATACTCAACTAGCCAGAGTGTAAACACTTGCGCGTGTGTCTCAGACAATTTTCATCGTATCCATAAATAAGTTCTGAACCAGCTATGTGGATTCCAAATTCTAAGATATAACACAAGATCACGAGATGGGCTAATGACCCATTAAATGACAATGATAAGTGTCTCAAACACTCATCATCATATCCAGTTGGTTCTGAACCAGCAATGTGGATACCAAAATGTATGGTATGAAAGAAGATTATGAAATGAGTCAATGATGAAATATATAAAATACTAGGAAAATATACTTGAAACAAATTCGTGAGAACTTCAACAACGGGACTGTCAACGGGATTGAAAAGTGTTGTAAACTAAAAGAGAACTCATGCAAACTATTGCTGAGAACAAGATTGTTGAGAGTGTGTCAGGAGGAAGTTGAAGAAAAACATCATGAACTCATGAAAACCACAAAAAAATCATCAAGTTTGATGGTTTCCAAGCGAAATAAAAACTGCGCTTTCTGTGGGCTACATTCGTTCTGCTCACAAGATTTCTCAGACATAACTCTAATAGAATAACTCCTTTGAAACTACTCTATTATTCAGAATGAAACAGTTTGTTGAAAATCAAGTAAGCACCCTCCAGTACCCGTACTCTTTTCTCTATTTTTAAATTCAACATCACATGACTAGATGACTGGATTAATTTCAAGAAATGATGTATACAGGATGAGATATGAATGAAATCATTCAGAAACTATCAATATCTCACGTGGTTACATTTCGCTATATCGAAAAATATGAAGGGAAAAGCATAGATCTAACTTCCTACTAGGTCTCTTTATGATTTCAGGTGTGTTGTGTGTATGTTCCTGCTCATAATATGTGATGTGATAATAGTGTGATGTGATAATAGAGTGATTAATTGACTTCAATTCATCAAAGATGTAATCAGGAAATCACAGGTAGTGACTTCTGGTTGAAATAACTGTTTACATATTAAATCAAAATTCTGATTTCATGTGATTATCACTGGATTTTTTTCTAATATTTTGGCAGTTGCAAAAAAAACATTTTGTCCTTTGATGGAAGAATAATTATTTCGAAATAGAATCTCGAAACATGCATCTATCTCAACATACCTACGCGATAGGTTCTGGTAAATGCACGCTGAAAAACAACTAATTTCCGGGCTAATACCGCCCTCGATATTGAATATATTCGACAGACATTTATACAAAATACTTCACAGTGGTTAGTCTCACATATGGTTCACATTCAACCAGCAGCAGGACGACGCTGAAACCAATCTAGTAGATCATCTACATACCAGTTCCGATGTCATTTCGCATCACTGCAGATCCGACCCAAACATCAGAGGCACTTAGCCGACGCCAACACGGTTCAACTGCATGTATAAAACCTGCGTCTGATAGAAATAGTATCAACTTTTAACAGCTCCATCCTGAGAACAAAGCCCCAAGCGGCGAAAAAACATCCCACGTTTGAGGAAGGTTTCATACAACTGCATGTCCTACACTGTTGAGAAGACTGCAGGTGATCTACTCGATTGATTTCAGAGGGATCCTGCTTATGAATGCATTAGAAACATCTGCAAAACTGAGGTATCTTGTTTAAATGTTCGTCGGATACAATTCAGTGTCCATCGTGGTATTAGCCAGGGAAGTAGTTGTTTTCCGGCAGACATTCATCAGAGTTTGTTCATTTGGGGCAGTGTGGATTGTGGTACAACATTCAATATTACATTTATCTACAATTGTTGAAGTAATATGGAATTGAATGTGTGGAGCTGTTTCATTTTGGGACCAGCAGTCAAATGCTCACATACCTCACAGTATTCTTATAATTTTTTTTAATTAGAACAGAACAAGATAACTTCTGGTCGGACCATTCTGAGTCCGGTGCCTCAATTCCCGGATTGCTCGATAAAACTGTACAAGACCATCGCTGGTGGTTGCAATTTGCAAGTAAACACACGTACATAGTGATGCGCTTATGATACGATACTCAAAGTACGAGAGCGGCGAAAAGAGTGATCAAGTAGAAGGGGTAAATACCATCATAACCTCGGAGACGGAGCTGATACTCAGCACGTACATGGTGACTCCTACATCCACAGGCGGGCCTGTAACGGCAAGCAAACTTATCCTGAGTGGCGCGCACAAGAAACAAATGAAAACCAAATCAAACTCGTGCCCTTGGCCTGCCGCCCGGGCTGCGAACTGGTCGCACGCGACGCTCGCGGCCGAAACTGCAACCCTCGATCATCACCGTTATTATCATTATTGTTAGAATTATCAGTTTGATTAAAACAATGCTTATCGAGTGAAAGAACCAATCTGGAATACCAACTCAATTCCAATATGAATTACTTCTCTCTTTTCGAAAATATAACACCCTCTGTGATGAAAAATATATGAATCAGAACAACTACTTTGTCATACCAACTTTTTTTAACTTCTGAAGTAATCAACATACAGGGTGGGCCATCGAAAACTTGACATGGCGGTTTTGGGTACTAATCTTGCAAATCCGAAAAAACGCTTAGGTCGATTTTCATTGGGGGGGGGACAGTTTTTTTCCTCATTTACAGCGTCGTTACTTCAACCCCGGAGCAGTAGGGTGAACAACAAATTTAATAGGGAATAGGGGGCAAGTAGCACATCGTTTGAAAGATCTTGGAATTCTCTAAACAATGATGTACATTTTTTAAATTTGGACGTATTTAAAACAGTTCTTTCTGATAATTAATTTTTTCAATATTGTTAATGGCAACAAATTATTGTACGCCACTGCTCAGTTGGAATGTTATTGGAACTCTCTCCTTCGTTTCTAACTCTATTTTTTTGCTAATTTTTCAGTTCTCCTTTGATGAGAGGACTATTACAATTGAAAAAATGCTGTTTCTATTTCTCATTTTTGTGTTAAAAGTGATATCTACATTATTATTAGTAGTGAGTGCCGTGAAGTGTTGCTAAAGAAACAATGGTTTACTAAACTGCAGAGAGGGTTGAGCTCATTGAACTGTACTATGGAAAAAGACGTTGTGCTGCGAGAGCCGCTAAACTATTCAATCAACATCATGGGAAGAATGTGCCGCGACAGTATGTTTTCGATTTAATTGCCAAATTTCGCGCAACTGGATCGGCAAATCGAACCATCAGTAACAAATGAGGCGACACAAGTATCCATTCTGGGCCATGTTGAGCTTGACCATACTTTGAGCACAAGAAAGTTAGCATTTGTTTCCGGGGTGTCAACAACTAGCATTAGGCGTATTTCAAAAACCCACAAAATGCATCCTTACAAGATTAAATTAACGCAAGAACTGAATATAGATGATTTCGATCGACGCTTGCAATTTTTCGAGTTGGTTAGCGACCTACGTTTGCTTCAGTGATGAATGTTTTTTTTGAATGACACAGTTTATCGCCATAATTGTCGGTATTGGGCTGATTTAAATCCTCACATTTTTCATGAAGTGCATACTACACGTCCACAAAAATCGGCTTGAATTTTTGGTGACCATATTGTCACAAATGAATGTCGCCAAATCACTCCAGAAATGCTCCACAGTGTTCGAGTACGTTTCCAGCAGAATCTCTATTATCCCATGTGAGCTGGAGGGGCCCATTCTGAGCATATTGTAACGGTCTAAATTTACTTGTGAATATTGTAGATATTGTTCGTTTATTCATTATGGAATCGACAGAATTGTCATTTATTGATGACGAACTTTTCGTCACAGCTAGGGACACATCTGGTTTGCCAGTGTGCCCAACCTACATTTTCAAAGAGTTTCCATGATTTTTCTCTAAAAACAACGGTGTTTTCGCCGCCATTTCTATTGTATCTCGTGTATTATACAGATATCCAACTATTCTACTAGATTTTCCTACGATCAAAAATACTTATTTTCTATCTTGCTACCCTATTGGTCCAAAATAGTGACAGCAAGTTGTTAACGTAGTCGATTGTTCTTTTTCCTTAATGAGATTGATGAATCGAGAGGAAGGAAGAAAACCGAGGCCGACTCACTTTTTTGGAGATCGGTGCCCTATTCTGTACGTGATAGTTAGCATTTTCCAAATAGACATAAATGTTTTCTCAAACATCCTGACGGGAGTAGGTTCATTTGGATAAATAATAAGTTGAAAGTGTGTATTGGGTATTGTTCCAAATATATCGTTGCCATATATTTGGATGACCATATTTCCGCACTCTTAGGAGGATTAATAAAGCTAACTATACGTAAGTCAGTTACGCCATTTTACCTCTCGAATGAAAAAAAATGCTTCGAACTAATTTTCTCATTAAATTTTAGTGGCTATCGAAATTCTAACGTTTACATAAAATCATAAGAAGATCAGCAAAACAAAGGCGCAAGGTTCTGCCTCTTAACATTTACAAAGTTACGTATACGATCAGAAATAGAAAGGAGGAAAAAAAAACAACTCTTCTGAAAAAAATGTAGGTCACGTATATGATGAATTACTCTCGGTTTGCCTAGACATAGTTATTGTAATCACTTTAAAGAGGGAATGTATAAACTCGTCAAAGAATTTCCAAGTGTAAAGCAACATCTTCTTTCTGGTAGACAGATGGTTGCTTGTACACATGAATTTCATGATTGTGTTTCTTTTCAAGTAATATTTCCAAAATCAGGCTTCAGTAAAACGGTGGTACTTTATTGTATAGTTGGATATCCGATGTGTTCTTATCATAAAATATATTGAAAATAAGAGAATTACCTGTTTTGCCATGAAAAAAAAATTAGGGAATTGATTGAGAAAGTTACTTTACCTAATTCCTTTCAATGGCCTTTATAGTCGTTCCCATTTATTATTATTTCTAATGCAATAATATACCGGATGGATCTCAGGAGTGTTATGATTGGACTCCAATCTAGACCGATCTGCTACTATCATTAATAGCTTCTTAATTTACTTGTTACCGATATATAGATCATAATGTCTCATTTTTATATACAGGGGGGGGGGCAGTATAAACATTCAATCACTTTTGGCTTTTCTTATTATATTCCGTTAACGTTAAAATTTAATAAATTTAGGAAGACCAGACCATCTCAATAAATCTTAATGGTTCAAAGTTGGTAATCAATAATTCTGGAGATTTGACCTCCAGTAATTTTTTTTTCATGTGCACAAATCTAAAACAGTGGAAGGGTGGTACAGTCAAGATCGACCCTCTAGCCCTCGTACAAGCAATAGAGCGTTACTTAGTAGTCAGAGGATATGGTAGACTTAGGGACAATAATAGTGCTGATAGTGATGATGGTGATTCGGACACTGACATAGAAGAATCTTTAGCTGGAGTTGTGATATCGCAAACAGGTACCAAGCACAAGTTGCAATTTCTCATTGGCAACAATGTGCTGCCTTACAATATGACCGTTAATCAGGCTGTGAGACATGAAAATGAAGTAAGTAACTGAATTTAATATATTATATAAGTAAAAAAAAATGTACACCGTTGTTAGGAAAATTTCAAGATCTTTCGAACGATGTGCGACTCGCCTCCAGATCCATATTGAAATTCCAAATGTTGTTCACACCTCTGCTCCGGGATTGAAGTGACGACGCTATAAATGGGAAAAAACTGTCCCCCTCTCAATAAAAATCGACCTGTCTGAGCGTTTTTCAGGTTTTGCAAGATTAGTACCCAAAACCCCCATGTCAAGTTTTCGATGGCCCACCCTGTTTACTAATCGAGCATATAGAATGAGGATTTCGTTTCAAACATATTATTTTCTGAAGGTTCGCTACATTGTTTCGTTGTCATTGGAGTGTTACTTGTCACATGTTGTCCGTTTTTTAGTTCTATCCGCTGCTTGGAAGTTATTCTCAAAGTATTCATTTTCGATATAGTTTTCTTAATATTCAGTTGAAGTAATGTCGTAAACAATCAACACTTCAACCGACACTAATAATAACTAACCAGTAAAGCCAACTTAGAAGTAATACATGTGCTCCAAACGAAATACTCATAAGATATGGTCGACTGAACTGAAGAGAAAGTGAACAAACAAGCTGCCACTTTTTCTGTGAGAGTACCTCGAAGTCGGTGAAGTTTATTAATCAGCAAACTAAATCATTTTCATCGGTAATGACGTGGGTATTGATTCAAATTCATTCTTATATATTTTATTGAAAGAGTACGTACATGAAATATTGGACTCATTTGACCAATGTTCAGCTCTATCTAGCATGAATTCCAGTTTATTGAATTTCATAAGTGGATTATTTGCAAGTACGTCCGTAACGAAGATCAATATTTAAAGAGATATGTAACAACTAACGGAGGTAATGTATCTTTTCATGGGAGTTGATTCTACAAATGTAATACTCTTCCGCCAATCAGAACCCAGCGGGGTGATTATTCGATGATCATCAACGGACTTACATCTGTCACGTCTCCTCTTGTCCCGTCATCTGCCATAGAACACCTGTCATTCGTCACTTGTCATCTGTAATTTTCAACTATCATTCTGTCAAAGTCATTACTATCATTTCCGTTAACACTGACAATGAAGTCACGTGATTCACTATATTGAATATCCATGATGATATTCATACAATGTATGGTGAAACAAGTCGTAACTAAAACAGTGTGAAAATTGTATAATTATTATCATGAATAGTGTTATAGGTCGGTGTATTTATAAGTAAGTTGATTGTTTCTCCTTCAATATCGTAAATTCAGTCATGTTATCATTAACGTTGAATGTATAAAATAATAATGCATCAGAGATAATAGACGACAGGCTGCTAACATGAGTTGAATTGAAGATGGAATATGACAGGTGAAGTTTGATGAGTGACAAATGACAGATGAATGGAATGGCAAATGATTGGTGTACAATGATAGCAGACCGAATTCAAGTGACATTCCAGAGACTGTAATTGTAGTCACGTGGAAGGTTACAAACTTAGCGAAATGCTGTTGTGTGATCTATTTGTTCCCATACAAAAACTCTTATTGTATGTAAGGATATTAGAAACTCATGATAGAAAAAACTGAATATGAAATAATCAAATAAAAAAAGCAGGCTAGAATCGTTGGAATCTTTGTTGGTTTCAAAACAGAGGCTATAATAACTTAATG